GTGTGTGTGTGTGTGTGTGTGTGTGTGTGAGAGAGAGAGAGAGAGAGAGAGAGAGAGAGAGAGAGAGAGAGAGAGAGAGAGAGAGAGAGAGTTGCGTTATTGACTCGATCCTTATGTTGTAAGGGTAGTCTGTATATCACCGTGTTCGTTACACTGACTTGCCAACTTCTCAGTCCGGGGGCCAAGTCCACTTACCCCTATCCCGCATTTACGACCCCAGATTGCAGATATCGAGGGTCACTGGGTCAGACATGAGGAGTTTGGGCATAGTGGGGCTTGGATCCAGGAATCGCAGCGCCCCATAATGCATGCCGCATACGTCAACTCTTTTGTGGCTTGACAGAGTCAGATGGACCGGAGGAACCGCAATAGGCTTTACAGAATAGGAACCGGAATCGATTACTAACTCAGAAATTCCCGACACAACCGAGTAACATGCCTGCCCTAATGTGAGACATCATGTGAGACTTCATGTAGACTCCATGTGAGACTTCATGTGAGACTTCACGTGAGTAACATGCTATTCATTACCATGTCATACAACGCATGTCGCAACGACCCAAACCGTACTACGCTGTGAGGCTTCATGTGAGACTTCATGTGAGACTTCATGTGAGACTTCACGTGAGTACCGATACCAAAAATATATGTATATGTATTTTCAAGTCCGAATCAATTATCGTCGGTCTCTCGCATTTATTCACGACAGCACAGTTATACTGAAATTCAGTGCATACATACTCACACGAGCCTCAGGACGTTTTCAACTTCTCTGTGGACGTGATTGCGGCCAAGTGCAACCTGGCGTGACCGCAAAAGCGGACAGATACATACAGGAAAGTCCTCGTGTTAGTATGGCGGCAATCCACATGACACGTTTTTGACTCCTGTTGGCTCCTTCCCCAACCGGTTTCAACTTTGAAGGCCGGATGCCGCCTACCGTCGTCCCCCTGAACAGAACGCACCCTTATAACGAATGTATACAACCTAGTTTTCCGGTCGTATGCATTCATCAAGACGCTGCTTCCCGTTGGGGTGAAGAGTCTGAAGACGGTAATCATCACTCAGGGGGACGTCCTCGCACCCTTTAAACGGATGTATACAACCTCGTTTTCCGGTACTATGCATTCCTTAAAACGGTAATCATCACTCAGATGGACGTCCTTACCTTCCTTGACTCAGATAACTTGCGGCAGTGCAGCGGCACCGTCAGTACAGTCCACCTCGTCCTCCTCTTTCCTACTACGAACGCCTCTGGTCTCTTCTTCTTCTCGTTCCCCTCCCCCTTTCTCCCTTTCTCCCCTTCTTCCTTCTTCTTCTTCTTCTTCTTCTTCTTCTTTTGCGTCATGTGAATGCCCTTTTTCAAGCCACGTCTGCTATAGCAGAATCACACAAGCTGTCGGCCGTTAAACACCGGAAAGGAAGGGAACCCATTAAAGGCACGTAAGAACATCACGCCCACACGGCACGGCAGACTCCCTCCCGCCAGTGACGGCCCGTCCGAAAAAAAAACGACACTGTCAAATAAATAAGCACACCATGAGCACTACTGCTAACTTCCCCCAACCTTCCCCCAAATAGAACGCGCGACGGTCATTAGACCTGAAACGGTTTCACCGAGTTCGCGCCACAGTGCAGATCGCATGTCTTGATCCCTAGACCTACCATCAACCCCCTGTACAGTTACCGGTTGACCCTGTGTGTGTTTGACACGGCGTGTGTTCGAACCCGCAACCTGCCTCAACTTATGTGCAAACGTTTCCCGTATGTAGTCTCAGACTGGGACTCTGGGTCGTGTGGACTTGAGCCGAAGATCTATAGGTTAGTAGTCTTTGGGTCAGTCCTATAGACCTATAGATCAGTCCTGACTCCCAAGTGCAGAGAAGGGTCAGTCTAAAAGTTGCTACCTGGGTCTTTGGAGCTGTAGGGGTCAGTCAGTCGTAGCCTAGGAGGTTTGTGACTCCTAAGTGCAGCGAAGGGTCAGTCTAAAAGTTGCTACCTGGGTCTTTGGAGGTGTAGGGGTCAGTCAGTCGTAGCCTAGGAGGTTTGAGGCTTGTCGACTTGACCTTTTAAGGCCTGTAGGGCTTAGTCATCCTTTAGGTGAGTCCGCAAGGTGAAGTCCAGTCCCAGTCTAAGTCCCAGTCCACCTTGTCTAGTCAAGAAGTACCAGGTGGGGCTTCTCACTGCACAGTCCTTGGGCCTGGGACCGAAGGCCGGCCAGAACACCGAAAATAAAGAGGCAGCACAGGCAGCACCAATGAGGAAGCGCTGCTGAAGCCACTTGTGCATTGAAGGCCTGCAAGAGCCCCGAGGAGAAGTGGGCAGCGTCCATCGCCGCTAGAGGAGGAGGAAGAGGACGGCGGCCATAGCCGCCAGCTTGTTGACGAATGGACTTTTTTTATTTTTTGAACGAAATTGAAACTGAGTTTTTTCAACTTTTTTGGCCGAAAACTCAGTCTAAATTTGCTGTTCTTGAGGGTCCGGCGTTTTTAACACGTTGGACCCCGTGTATGTATCCGGACCTAGCTTGAGACAATACATCCAGGCGGTCCCCCCTGGATGTATCTGGTCTCAAGCTTAGTCCTGATACATCCAGGGGGTCCAGCCTTTTAAAAACGCCGGACCCTCAGGAGCAGCCAAATTTAGACGAGTTTTTGGCCAAAAGAGTTGAAAAAACTCAGTTTCAATTTCGTTCAAAAAATAAAAAATGTCCATTTTGACAAAATGGTAGTTAACAGTAGTGTGTGTGTGTGGGCGTGGACATTCAGGGTTAGATCCTAGTAGCGTGTGTGTATCTGTGAGTGAGTAAGTGCAAGTGTGTCTGATGGTGGCCAAAAGAGTTGAAAAAACTCAGTTTCAATTTCGTTCAAAAAATAAAAAATGTCCATTTTGACAAAATGGTAGTTAACAGTAGGCTAAGTGTGTGTGTGTGTGGGCGTGGACATTCAGGGTAGATCCTAGTAGCGTGTGTGTATCTGTGAGTGAGTAAGTGCAAGTGTGTCTGATGGTGGATACAGTGTAGGGGTCGGAATAAAGAAAGACTGGCGTTCGGATGCCATAGCCGCAAGCTGTGACAAGTTGACTTGTAATGAGTTTCTGCCCAAGGGCCATATATCTGAGTTTTCTGTGTGGGCGCTGTGCGCCATCTCACATTTGTTGCTGATTCTGCCCTGTTAGAGTTCATCAGCCATTGGCATCTGGCAGTGTATGCATGTATGTCGAAAGTGAAGTTGAAGATTGCAGACCTGTCTTTGAGATAATATTCAGTCTTCATTCAGGCAGCGATAAGGACCGTACTACATTCTATTCCACTCTGTCTATTCTATTCGGGGGAAGGGTGCTGAATTAACAGTGGGGCGAAGGGTGCTGATTTAACAGTGGGGGAAAAAGTGCTAAGTCAACAGCAGGGGGAAGGGTGCTGAATTAACAGTGGCCCAGTGGGGGGAAGGGTGCTGAATTAACAAAGGGGGGATCCCGGGGAAGGGTGCTGAATTAATGGTGGAGACAAATACTAAGGGGCACGTTGCATACAACTGGAACCCCCTTGAGTTTCAAGGAAGCTCCGT